TGTTACGGGGCAAACTTGAGAGTACGGTAGCCTCGAAGATCTCTACAAGTAAGCAGAACTGCTCTGCAACGTACATAATATTCTGAATTCAGCGGTTCTACGGTGTACAGGAATCGACGTGTTACCGGGCAAACCTGAGAGTACGGTTACCTTCAAGTTGATATACTCTGCTGTGCTAGAGTAACGTAGCGCTAGTTGAGGAGACAGCTTTAATAAAATAGCTATATCTGCTCAACTAACCAGAATCGCCCGACAAAATGTATATTTTTTTAATTCAAAGATTCTGCTCGATCGATTTTTGTGAAGAAATTGATATGTTGCTGATCAAAGCTGAGAGTACGGTATGCTTCCTTATGAAGAAGTACATTATTGTGATTGATAGTTTATCGAGATATATGATTTGTTCATGAGTTTTATCGAGAGTTTATTGAGATTTTATTATGAAATGTTGAGATTTTTGAGATATTCATGTATTCAGAGATTTCGTTAACATTTCGAAGATTCCATTGAACTTTTAGTCTCATAATTAGAGGCAGTGATCAAAGGGAGAAACCCGTCACAAGAGTCAATTGAAGTGTTGAATTGCTGCAAATTCTTGCCCAGTTGAGAAAATTTCCTCAGATGATTTTCTTCTTTTCCAAATATTTTATTTTCATAATCTGATATTCATCTTGTTAGGTAATAGCTGTCTTTTTCGAAGAGGAAGAGGAAAATGTTATGGAAGACTTTTTGAAATCGCTTGTTGTCTACTGCGTAGGAAGGAAAAGTGGCACAGGTATCTGATTAGAGTGGCACTGGTAACGGTTTTCGCTTGACTGTGCAAGGTTCGGATTCTATTTTAAGACCTTTCAGCATTTGCTTCTGAATTTTTATTTCAGGTTTGGCTTTGAGTTTGTAAAGGCTTAGTTTTGGAAATTGGAAAAATGGAAGAGGGAGAAAAAGTTAGCAGTTTTTTCGGAAACTATTTTTGTATACTTCATATTAAGCCAGCTTTTTCAGGTGCGACGTAGCGTGGCTGGAAATCTCACTGCTTCCGCATGAAAGGCTTAGGTTCGTATCCTGTTTTGAAATTTTTCGTCCTTTGCTTCTGAATTTTACTTTTTGAGCCTCTTATTTAAGCCAATTCGATCTGCAATCGCCACCTACTAACTGGTAACATTAGAAATGTGCGTACACAATCAAATCGGTCATATTTATAGCACATTTTTTTCATAGCACATTTCATAACAACAAACAAAACAACAACAGCAACAAAGTAACAAATTAACCACAACGCCAATAATGATAACAATAGTAACATTAACAATAACTATTATTATAGCATAATCACAATAACGGAGAGGATTTATAATGATGAACTTAAAAAATTGAAACAGAGTCGTTTCAACCGAACAATTTTCATCATTTTAAGTTAAAAATCCACCTCAACAAAAAACACGTAAAAGAATTTCATCTGAAACTACAACTGATCATAACAGTTTGCATCAATTGCGAATTAAGAATCAACTTTATTAGAGACGTTCATTATCCCAAAGTGATTCTAAGAACGTGATTCGTTGGTTGAGGAGTGCTTCATCGAACTGTTTTGTTGGTTTACGAAGAGCCATTTGAACAAATAGCTGCAGACCTTGCGAGAAGAGTTTATGTTTCGTGGATGCTATCACATTAGCGAACAATTCACTCAGATTAGCCTCTGAGGATCGCGTCAGAACAATGCTCAAAATCCGACGAAGGAAACGTGTCGTTGTTTGATCGATGGTACCAAACTCGATAATCTGAAATCATTCTCAGATGAACACTGCTCAAGAAATGAACCACTGAAAAGAAATGACTTTCAATAGAAATGGTAGTTTTTATATAATTTTAATATGATGAATATAGGCAGACAACCACAAAATCCTAATCAGATCGGTACCTTCAGGACAGTCACTCCAATCGAACGGCTCAAAATGAGATCCGCAACAAGTGCGGCCAAAAGTGTTCTTTGCCACTGCTCGAGACTGTTCAACTCTCGTATTCGATCCCATAGTGCATATTGTGCGGTCAACTGAAAGCAATCAAACTAAAATCATTGCATATTTTCAGGGATAAACGATCTTTCCGGATTAACGGAGTGGAAGGTGAGTGTTGAAATGAGTCTTTCAACGATGGAATGGATGAAATTCCCGAAAATGGATTTCAGTAGCACCACTGATCACGAACAATGCGTAAAGAAATCGGCAACAAGACAAACCTTGAAACGTTTATGGAATGCACAGAACTGCGCCATAACGGCTGCATAGAACGGATTGTAGCACGATTCGCGCACAGCACACTGTATACAAATATGGATGATTTGACGTTCTTGATGGCCTTTCAACGATAACCTCATCAGCTGTTCAAAAGCATCCATTTCGTCCTACGAACGATTATTCATTTGGTTAAATCATTTAAACAAACCAATCTACAACTATTCATAAACACAGCTCTATCAACTAAAAAAAATCGCTCGTCACCCATAATGCCGTTGGTAGAATAAACGACGAACGATGTTTCATAATGAAAATGCTTCGTTCAATAATGCCACAGAAAGAGGTTATATTTTTCGGTGGCGATTACAAATATCAGCGATAAAATTGTCAACGCAATTATTATTCAAGAGGTAACAAGATGAAGAAGACGACCGATAATAATCTGGAGATTACACTTTAAATAAAATTATGGCCAAAACAAAATTTATGGAAGGATGTTCAAAAATATTGTTGAGCAGACAGAACTGACCTTCGATGAAACGAGCTGACAGAAAATCGTCCTTCTCAATGCCGTATTCATATGCGCTTTTTTGGCTAACTTCAACAGAGAACTGTCGAATTTGGTGGACGTCTCATCAACCAGGGTTGTTCCCGACGAATAGAGGCTGGAGGTTTGAGGCACAGATGAGGCGGCAGCAGCAGGTTGCCAAGCCGATCCCACCAACCACCAACGACCGCGCTCAGCCACATGCAGTATATCATCAACACTCATACCCAGTTCTGATTCCTTGTCAATTTCTGAAGCAGTCGTCCAATTGAATCACATCGAACATTAGCATATGAGGCATTATTTTCAATTATCATCACCCATATATTCACACCAATCAGCTGATAATCAACTAATCATAACAACTCACAAAAACTACCAACAACAAACTTTTTGTAAGTCCACGGAAGATGCTCATATAATGATCGAATATTGAATGGTCCACTGCATCCGTCCATTTCCGGATATTCGCTTGTTTAATTTCCAAAAATTCTTCAACTAAGAAACGAACATGCGCACTGAAACGGCAACACGTAATGAACGACTGGTGGAATGAGAAATTATTTGAAAACGAAATACTCACTCCAGCAAACGCTCACTGGGTAACTGAGAAAGCTGCACTTGAACATCGCTGATATACTTCTGGAGGAATTCCGAGTCACGACTCTTCATTATTGAACCACAATCTGAATTGAACTCAGTTATGAAACAATGTGAAGAGATCGAAATGGAGGAAAACAGATGATAAAAGCATTAATACATTCACAGAACGTAAAAGAGGAACAAACGAAAAGTTTGTGCACTTACAAGAGAGAATAAGTTTCGAACATTCCATAAGTTTATCACTGATCACTTCACGCATGTGACTCAATATCTCAGAGACCATCGAGGCTTTAATCACCTGTCATACAAAACAATATTAGGGATCAACACAGTGAGATATTAATAACTCATGAACTTTACTCTTTCGAATGCTTTATATAATCATTTATATTCATCCGGGTAACTTCATTATAGTATATTTATTGTTCATTTCATTCAAATTTATATTTATCCGCTTATTTATATTCAATTTATATATTTATTTACATTCGTTATATTCATTTATATTCAGAATGATCTATTAAAACCCTAGAATCACTTCCAAATGAATGTGTTTATAGCCGAGCAATTCATGAAGATATAATGAAATGAGAATGAAAAATCATCATTGGAATGAAGAATATGTGGAAAAATACCTTGAAATTGTAGATCTCGGCAAGAAGAATAGAACTATTCTCTAGATATTTATCATCAGGTGGCGCTTTAATCAAATCGACCATTTTCAGGATGAAAGATTCCACAAAATATGACGCTTAAAAATGATAGAGCGAAATTATATCTCCTCTACCGAAACATTTCAATGAAAAAACAAATTTTTAGCACATACATGCCTGCTTCTTCCACAGAAAACGAGAAATCTGCTCAACGTTAGTCACAGAATGAATTCATGCAGTATCTCCTCATTGTAAGTTCACCTCCTAATTGTTTTTGAGATTATGTAGATAAGAATGAAACGATTCGTTTTCTCAGCCATACCGCACTGCGAATACTATTCGAACCAACATACCAAGGTTAACTTGAAAGGACAAAATTATCAATAAAACTAAACGAAAATATAAATGAGAAAGAGAACGAACACAATTCCAGTGAAACAGTCGAGTGTATGAGTGCAATGAATAATGCATATTCGACGACGATTCGATCCGGTAGTCTGTAACCGACCGCGATGCTCTTATATAACGCATCAAACAAACACTGTTTCACATCTGAAACCAAATATTTCACACACATCACAAAAACAACAACAAGAAGAGAATGACTGTAAAATCAAGTAAATTCACTGCGACGGTGCGATTCTCATTGATCATTTTCCGACGACCAATTGGGGAATTCATCCGTTCCATTGAATTCATCGTCCTATTCCTAGACAGAAACTTGACTCGCCTAACCAACAACTATATTGCGATTGACGAATCGCTAGCCTAGTGTTGAAGTGATTTTTAGAATGAAGGTAATGGATAGCTAAAATTGTTAGAATAAAACAAAAAACAATTCAAACAACGAGCCGTTATGTGGATTCGTAGCGAACAACTCAGTGACATTTTTCACTGTGTTCACAATCGTATTCTCGTTCAGTCGATTCACGAGACCTCTCATCGTCTTCTCCAATTTCGCTCTTCGCTCATCATGATGCACCGACTCACTGCCAGCTTCCAATTGGGCAAGTCTCTGTTTTGCACCAACATCTTTCGGAACGATTTCACCGGTTTTCTTGTCAATCAAACGCCCGTAAATATCCTCTTCTACTTGCGGTTCTCCCGATACAGTTTCGATCTGTTTGTCATTCATCTCCTCGTCAATATCATTCATCATCTCGTCAACATCACCGCCATCATCCGAATCACTGTCCGATCCATTCAGCTGATCACTTTCATCGTTTGAGATTTCTTCCTGAATTTATGCTTCGATTAATTGGAATTTTTGTTCGGAAACGAATTTTTCAAAATGTTACATTTGCATTTCAAACGTACACACCAACTGGATAATAATTCAGAAACTGTTTGGATACAGATTTTTTGAAGTTAGAAAATTGAATGTATAGCTAAAAAGCATCGAATCCGATAAAACTTAAACGTTTTCCAAAGCAAAAGTGACGTACTTTTGTATATTCGGTGGTGAGATTATCAGCAAATGAGACACGTTTTGAATGTTTTGTCGCATCTTTCAACGCCATCGCATCATCACCATCACCATCAGCATCACTGTCCTCATTCAGATTAATTTCGTCATTCATATCGCCGACGGCTCTCTCGGCTAACAATTCTTCTTCGACTTCTGAATCGCTTCTTTCCTGTTCCTCTGCAGCCACCTCACTGCGTTTCTTTGCATCGCAAACTTCCAACAGATCTGCAAATTCGATTTCAGAATGAACGATATGAGCGATATTCACGACCGGAGAGCATCGCAATTGCGGCACTCTCAAATTACGACAAATGCAAATAACAGAGACGGCAACTGAACACGAATCACGGAGAAGTTTGCGATTCACTAAAACAATTCTGTGGATGAAGGTTAATGAAAGAGATAAAATCGAATCGAAATTGGTGACGAACGAAAAGTAATTTGAGCCACTCTGTAACTGAGACAGTATATGACTCATCAGAAAAACAAAACACTTACAGTCAAGGCCTTCAGCTCGGAACACTTGCGGCATATTTCTACTCTTACGTTTCTTATATCCAAGTAATGTCGCGAATCGCTTAATCTGTGCTTCATCTTCTTCCAGTCCACGTTTGATCTCTTCACGTCGCCTTTTCTTGGCCTGAAAAAAATATATAAACAGCATTTCAATCGCTCTTCTTCACACCTTTTGTATGCATCAATAACAATTACTTTGGACTGCCAAATTTAGTTACAAACAGAAAACCTATCCAAAAAAGTAGAGATAAAATGGTGTTTGGTAGATAAATACAAAGGTAGATAATGTTGTTTGATGGTAGATAGAGAAAATGCTAGATAAAGGTAGATAAAGGTATGCTGTCTGCTGTTTGACAGGTAGATAGTAGAGGAGGATAAATAAAATGTTGTTTGAGAGAGTGAAGAATTCCGAATCCACGATAAATATTCACCTTCTCCGTCGAACTAACTCGTTTCTTCTTCACTTTTTTCTTCGTCGTCGATTTCTCATCGTTGCTATCTTCTTGTGCGCTATGGGTACGTTTCTTTTTACTGGATTTTTTGTCTTCGACGACGACATCTTGCGACAATTTTGCCACCACAATGTCCTCAACCTGAACGACAATTCGTTCAGACCAGAGCTATGATCGATGAGTAGTGCAAATTTTTGATTGTGAACTATTCCAAAGTTAAATTTTTGAACAATTCGTTTCTCATTGAATGAATGAATCAGTCAAAATCGCACTCGAAATTAGCAAAACAAGAGAAGGCATTAATAACCTTTTTGTGTGATGCATGAGCGATTCTTTGCATTTTCTTCAGTTTTTTCCTATTTCTTCTTGCCTCTTTCCGTTTACATGTGATCGATAAAACGTTGTCGCCAATTCCCATTTCTAGACTGAATATATCAAATAAGAACTGTTGACAATGCACGAACGTATTTTGAGTGAGTTCTCGAATAGTCACTGCATTCAGTTCGATAACATTATCGACAATCCAATACGAGATTTTTGAAAAACGTCTGCGTTTAAACGCAAAAGAAAGTAGTCTAAGCAAAATGAAGAAATACTCGAGTTTTCATATTTCAGAAAAAAACTGCGCTAAGAAGTTTCAGTTATTTTCAACCGCAAATGTACTCGTATTTTAGAATATCATCAAGAACAACAAATGGCAAACATGAAGCTCACGGCCGACTCAAACGTTTCGATTTGTAGTTGTGCACTGCGAACGTAATCGAAGGTATTTATTCAAAAATCTGATCAAATTAAAGTTACAATACGAAGGAAATTTAGAGCCAAGTAGAACAGAACATGATATGTAAATAAAGTACCGTCAATAAAACGAATCCAGCAATTACCCATAAAAATATTTTGAAATCAGTTGAAAGAAAAATTATATAGCTAAACAGAATTGAACATTACGTCAAGTCCAAGTGCCATAAGAAAATCATTCACAAGGCGAGTATTTTCATAACGAAATGAACGCAAGTCATGCACTATGTGCATAGGCTACGTTCATCCTATCACAACGATAATTCTCAGAACTCATCCATTCTCACATTAAAATAAAACTTGAATAGAACAGCTAATTCAGTGCAAATTTCCGCAACAATCAAACAAATACAACAGAAAATTATTCAGTCGGTCGAAAAGATATAGTCCATTGCATCGCTATCATCCATCATATCTGTTGACATCTCAGTTGTGGACACAATTTGCGACGTTTCTTCGGTGGATGAACCGGTTTGGAGGTTAGTTTGAGGCGGCTGCACGTCTTCGTGCTTCTCATTCGAAGTGCCTTGTTCAATCTGTTTCAGCATCGCTTCACGTTTTGCCCGAAGTTCTTCAGCTCTTCGTTTATTTGCAGCAATACGTTCACGTTGAGCTTCGGTCAACTCAACAGACTGCTGAAACTTTCACTTCATTATTATGGGATGGATTCCATCCGTTACATATGAACAGAACACAGGTTTCGGATAACGCAACAACTAAATGCAATCATTCAATTCATTATGACTTATTGAACGTCCGCATGTGCAGATCTCATCTTATGAATGCTCACGGTTAACAGAATCGCGAATTTCTCTCATTTCTTCGTTAGAGAAATTCAACGTCAACTAACGGTTTCCATTGTTTTCCATGAAAAATGCATACATATTCGAACTTTTCCAACTGCATCAGCCGTGAAAATGATGAATTCAAGATTGAAACGATTACAGAAATCAACGAACTCGATTGGAACATAACAAATTCATAAATGTGAATTACATTTGGTACTTACAGAAACATTTTGCGTTTGTGGAGTTTCAAACGCATTCACTGAGCTACTAGGCTCAGTGTAGAAATCATCGATAAAATCATCATAGTCCTCATCGGGTGGATTTGTGACAACTGCACTAGTACCACTAGGCTCAATAGCTGCGGTAGCATCTTCTTCTCCTTCTTCACGCGTCTTCGATGGCGAAGCACCATCTGGATTCGATATTGATGCGAAATCTTCATCTGTTAATGGCATATCCATTCTCATCTTTTCCATATATGTCTGAAAGAGACCGAACAGACTTCAGTACGACTCAAAACTTCCTTGAAACATGTGCAAACCTTCAATTGACGCACAAATTTTCACGTAATTAGCATTAGTTTAGATGCACGCAATTGCAAATTTGTTTGGCGAAAGCAATTCAAATTCGAATGTGAATAGCTTTTTTTGATTGCATTCAATAAGTGATCGCGATCGATGTTCAACTCTGGAAGGACGAATGAAATAATTTGTGAATCAAATGTATCCATCATTTTGTAATTCCACCTCCTTTAAGCAGTCCAATAAAACATGTCTAAAGAGCTGATCAACTGGAAACGATAAGATGAAATGATAGACATATCAAGACGAACCTTGACCGCTCTCTTGCCACCAAGTGTTTCAATCGAATCAATGACATCTTCAAATTTCATTTTCGGATGTAGTAAATGCGCCCAATATTCAATTTTGTTCATCACGTCCGCCAGTTTTTCATACTGAAATAACACTTCATTATTCAAACTGCAACATCAGATGACAAATTGAGAATTCGTGTGAAAAAATTGATTTGAGATCACTGAAGACACGTCTTGTTTCCGTTCAACAATCAAAACACCTACGGGATTTTTCTTTGGATTGGGTTTGTACCCGTCGAACATTTTCTTCAAGGACATAATTCCCCGCGGACCACACAGTTCCTGTTCACGTAACTTCGGCTGAGGACGAAGCACACGAGTTTTGGGGGCAACACGCCTCTTGTCACCCTCTTTCAATAGGTCATTCAATAGATGAACGTCCGTTGGTGGCTCAGCTGTAATAATTTGACAATGAGTTAAATATGAGTTATTTTTATTCGATGAACAATTATTGTAAATTAAAATGCATACAGCGCCATCATATAGAACAATAAACCTAAGGTTTATTTTAAACTATCATCAAACGTTTAACTGTTTTACTACTATCAATAACTATAACCTATGATACAACTATTAACGATTGGTCTTCGTATGGCAGTGACCAACACCGAAGGGTTCATCAATAGTACTTGTTAGATGCTGTGCAATAAGTTCGGTTTTACAATTTCACACACGAATAACTACTCAAATTGAATTTGATACTATTATACCACGCTATCGAACCATACTATCATACCATGCTCATTCGCAGAAATTCCAAAATATTCCTTCAAATCAGTGA